TTACCCCAAAATACTCAACTTAGTGAAGTCTAAGGGTGCTGATAGCACAGTCCCCAATACTCTGCCCCTCACTATCCTTAGTTTTATGTTACGGTAAACAAAGTTAAGACACCACCATAATTCTGGGATATGTTTAACACTTGCTCAAGAGGTTCTTGTTCTTATATTTTTCTCCCAAGTGGTCTGATTACCTCACAGTCCCTGGTGGTTAGTTGTGTTTGGAGATTATTTGGCTATGAATTTAAACGTCTGAGTGTGGTCTGCTTTAGAAAACACTGGACTGTGAGTCAGAGGCCCTCAATTCCTTTTTATGATTCTACCCATCTTAAAGTTGGGAAACCTTGTACCCTCTCTAGGCAGTTTCTCCATCTGTAATGGAGCCACCCAGCACTTATCTGTGCCCTAGACTAAGAGAAACAGTTAATAGTACTAAAAGCCTCTTGGATACTTAAATCAGGAACAGACCTAATTCTACTGCACTTTCTTGTGCTTATAACCAAAAATATTTCTAATAGTTGTTTTATTTTGATGTGGTTGGAAATATGCTTTGACTACAAAAGAAGAAAGAATGATCTTTCGTACTTTTATTTAATAATTGAACTCTGATACAGGGAGATTAAATTATTTATAAGTGAGAGAAGCAAAATTATTAAAAATACTGAATGGCATGTTAGTTCTTTACATCTCTTTCTGAAGCTCATCCTGACCAAGTCAATACTATATTGCCTCCTAATAGCAAGGATGCATTCCTTTGGATAAAACAATGCATGAAACTGTAGGACTCTCCCAGAAAGCAAAGACTAGCATTTAGGAGTACACTATTAAAACATACACATAAACCTCTCCTGTACTAAAGCTCTGTGTATGAAAATATAGGTTGGGAGAGAGGAGGAGTATGGGAACAAAGGATTGCATGTGGCTGCAAAGCTCATTGCTTGCCATTTTAATTTTGCTGTAGGATAAGGGGGAGGGTTATGTTTATGCATTGTTAAGGTGTTGTTAAGAGGTAGTCTGTAATGAAATATAACCCTCATATATTTTCCTATTAGAGATGGCTTTTAGTTCTGCAAATTCTCTTTAGAGTTTGTCGATAAAAGTTTTGGCTCATTCGTTTATCTTAGAATTAAGCACTATAACCAGATCGGTGACTTATTTTATCTGTAGCTCTGAAGTGGGGATGGAGATGGGGCAAGGGGGTGCTGCTAACTTCTATTTGGAAGGAGAGGTGGAGGCTCTGGAGGGAAGGCTCTGATCTGCCAGAAAATGGCGACAAAGCTCTAGGTGCCAGAGACACAAGGACAAAGGGCAGGCAAAAAGGCTTGGTAATGAGGGTGGAAAGGTGACAAAAAAAAAACACTGTTTAACAATTGTGACTTTGCAGTTTTGCATAGTGAACTCGCAATAATATGTCCAGGTTAGTATGAAGATGAAAAATCTCCTCCTTATCAATTCATCCCAGTTTTCCCAGTCAATTCTGGTCCCCAACTAGAAAAGAGAGAAAGGGGTTAATTTAAAAGAGCTGTAAAAGAATGAGTAAACTCTGTATTTTACTGCATACACACACACACACACACACACACACGAGTGTTTGAGCTCGTTCCCCCCGTCTTAATTACTAGTATACTAAGAAACATTAGGATTTATATCCAGAAATATTTATCTTTTATAATTATCATGCAACACATCAAGACATGCACAGAAGAAATTGATGGTTCAAAACAAGAGAAATGAGACAGCTACTACAGAATTATCTGCAGGACGGGATTAATTATGAGGCGCCTTTTGAAATAAAGTTAGAAGCCTGTATAAAATATGCCCTAGGGCCAGCCTCAGTGGTCTAGTGGTTAAGTTCAGCATGCTCGGCTTCAGTGGCCCCGGGTTCGGTTCCTGGACGCACACCTACACCAGTTGTCTGTCAGTGACCATGCAGTGGTGGCTTTCTCATATACACAAAGAAGAAGATTAGCAACAGATGTTAGCTCAGGGCAAATCTTCCTTAGCAAAAAAGAGCCCCAAACTGATAAGTACCTGCATTTAAAGTTAAAATGATGATTTAATCACCAATTCTTATAACTTTTACCTGTCAATATCTTTTGAAGCAAAGCCAACCACTCCAACCCTGTTGTCTGTATCCATATATCTGTCACCTGGAATACTATTACAAGCCAACTTAAGTCATCTTCAGGCTGGCCTGGTGGTGCAGTGGTTAAGTTCACATGCTCTGCTTCAGTGGCCCGGGGTTCACAGCTTTAGATCCCGGGTGCGGACCTACACACTGCTCATCATGCCATGCTGTGGTGTCATCCCACATACAAAACAGAGGAAGATTGCCAAAGATGTTAGCTCAGGGATAATCTTCCTCACCAAAAAAAAAAAGTCATCTTCAGCTCTTCTCTCTACATCCAATACAGCAGGAAACCTTGTTGGCTCTACTTTCAAAGTTTAAGCTCTTGCACTGCCACCCTCCTGGTCTGGGCATCATCTTCAGCCGCCCAAATGACTACAATAGCCTCTTAACTGGTATTCTTAAGCTCACACGTCTACTCTTGACACATTTTCCAATGAGATCCTTTCAAAATATGTCAGACCAGGACTCTCCTCTGTTTACATCCACCATTGGCTCCCCTCTCACTCAGAGTTAGTGTCTAAGTCCTTAGAAATGAGTCACAAGGTTTCACATGCTGTGGCTCCCTATTCCTTCTCTGACAGCATTTTTGACAGTGTTTTTGCCCTTGCTCACTCACTCCAGCCACACTGGGCTCCTTACTCTTCCTTAAACATACAGCAGCCAGGCTTCCACTTTAGGACTGTTTATTCTGCCTGGAATTCTCTTCCACCAGCTATCTTTTAAACTAAACCCCTCACTTCCTTGAGATCTTTGCTCACATCTCCTTTCTCCGTGAGGATTACTCCCTCAAGCTGAATCCTTTGTCCTCTGGACATATCCCTCTCAGTTTCTGAGCACATCCTTACTTTCTGGCATAAGAAGCCATTCAAGGCTCACCTCATACGTTCCCTTCAGTTGCTCCCAAGACTTCATTAAAATCTTGTGCTCCTGTATAATTCAGTTTGTGGATATTGCTGGCAAAAAGAGATGACATGGGAGAGAGGAAGTGTCCAGCATCATCCCTTCCATTGACATCTGCTCAAGGCAGTAGCTGCCTGTCACAAAGGGCCATAATTCAGATTTCTAGACACCCACAGCACCTACATAAACTCCTTTAGGACTCCCTTATATCCTGGATTCCATTTTTTTGGTAAATGTTTTATTAAATGAATTAAAAAATAAATACATTCATTTGTGTCCTTTTAATATGATGTGGTCTCCTAATATCTTGAATTATATCCTTTCATATTTGAAGCCCTAGATTTAACTATAGTTTCCAGAATTTAGTAAGTGCTTAGTAAATATCTGATCAGGGAAAGGAAGGGGAAGGACCATCTTATCACTTCTATCAACAGTTCATATAGAAAATATTGAATGATATAATATGCGTAAAGGCTGTAGCCAGTGCCTGGCAAATAGCTGGTATATTACAGGACTAACCAGAGTAAAAGCTGAAGAGATTTCTGAAATCTGCTGGTTCTGAGATACAAACAGCAGAAAAATATTTTTCGTTTACTACCTTTTCAACATTCCCATTGACAACATAGTAAACTGGTAAAAAATTATGAGAAAGTGTATTTGATGTTATTCCTATTCAATCTCAAATTTTGAACAGTTTTAAGAAAACTATTCGGAAGTAGAATGTTATATTGAGCTTTCTTGATTCAGTCAGCACAAAATAAGTGATTACCAAGAAATCACGTGTAAGTACTGAATTAAAACCACAAAACTGATGAATTCTGAGCAAAGACTATAAAATCCGAGAATTAGGCTTAACAGTGTTTACCTTAAATCTATGATTGTCAAAACATTGATGTAGTTTCACACAGACTAAAGGAATGTTATAAATAAATTAATATCTAGGCTAGTTTTGGAAAATAACTCCACTTAAAACTGTAAGAATGAATCAAAGTCTAGGACTGTAATTAACTCTGCCTGGACACAGAAGGACAGGCTAGTGGAAGAGCACATAGATGGAGTTGGTAATAATGATAAAGTTCTAGTTCTGATGCTCATGATGCTCACTCATGACTGTTCATTTTTACCATGCTTTTCATTATGCTTTATACTTTATATCTTTGGTAAATGTTTCTTTTGCATGAATCAATCACTGCACAATAAACTAGTACATAGTCAATATTTTGGAAACTACTGACCTAGTGTATCTAATTCCTGGTTGCAACATATGTTACTGTTAAATGGGGATAATAATACTTATAAAATTGTGGTTAAAATTAGATAAAATAATATATAAAAATATGCAACAGAGTGCCTGGTGTATATATATTTTAGTCTTCAAAAGTGCGATTTAGTTTTTGGTAAGTTTCAAAAGATCATGCATGAATATTGCATTTGATTGCATCTTGAAATGTTTTAGGCATACAACTGCATTCTTGATGAAAGTGGCTGTGTCTTAATAACACATTTACCTTGGAAGAGAAACACTGAACAACTTTCTCCAAAATGCAGGGAGAATATTAAACATGTGCCCGCCATCTAGCATTGCAATGTTACCTAAGGTCTTAATCTTGATGGCCTGCTGCAAAAGCCCTCACCACAAATCAACAGAATTTTAACAATTCATGTAATACGTAAAGCTGGAAATTCTAGGCATAAGGTGAGTCACATTTAATTAGGAATTGTGATATATCTACACTACAATTAGACTACCTAATTTTACTTTACTACTTATAAGACATGCAGGGAAAACTTCTGTAGATGACTAAGTTCCACAGTTTTGTCTTATTTCTGCCTCTTTTCTTGAGATAAAAAATCAAAGATGTAGCAGAGTGCACACAATCAAATCAAGTCTCTCTCATTTACTTTGAAAAATCTATGAACTCACTCAAAAAATACAATTTTCTATTTTTCTGGTTAAAATATATACTCAGACCATCTTACTAAACTCCAGGCTGCCCTCTTCCAAGCAATCTTGGGCTGTCCACACTTCTGACCACCTCTCCCTCTGCAAAAAGAAATGTGGAAGACATTGTGCCAATTAGAGCAGGGTTTTGAGGTTCAATTCAGAATCAGTTGAGAAATATCAGCAGTGATGTTTGGATCTTTCCACTGAAGATTAAATTAATTCTTTCCATTATCCCATGGTATTATGAGCGAAAGCAATGATTGTAATAAGAGGTACTGTTATGTCCTTACCACGTTCCAGGCAAAATGTTCACGCTTTACATGCATTCTCATTTAATTCTCACAAAAACCTACACAAAGTAAGTATAATTACCTTGAAGTGACTTATCTAAGCTACCCCACTATTAAATTAAACTGGAATACCAAACTTCTGACCCTAGAGCCTAAGACTTGTAACCACTTGGTAGTACTTACATGGTCAGTTCCACTGAATTAATTCTTTTACCATCTATTCAAATATTATCTATCAGTTGTCGTCAACTGCCAAGCATTTTCTCTAACACCACATTACTTACCCTGGAAAGAATTTTTCACTGACTGGAAGGAAATTTCTGAGGCTCCATCTTAAGACTTCAAGGATACTGAAGTAAGAAGAAGAAGTAATGAATTAGTCATGATCTTATAAAACTTTCGATCTGAGGCTTACTTGACAGAACCTTACAGGCTACATAGTCTGTAATTTTTCCCTGTGTTTCAAGTAGAAGACGATAAAGAGGAAAGGGTTCTGAAACTCTTTTACAAGTACTCAGGAAAAGCAAAAAAACAAATAATTGTTAACTAACCAATTTACAGAGGAGGGAAAAGGTAAAGATTAGAGATTTTTCTCAGCCAAGCATGCTAGGCCATGTACTACTTGAAGTGTTAACGTGAATAGGATGATTTATTTACTACTTTTATAGAGACTAGCCTTGAAGAAAAATGTCTAAACACATTTAACAGCCTTCTTGCCCATTTTAAACATACGAAGCTTGCTTTTCTCTCTTCTTCTAGCCAAATAGACAATGGATTGTTAAGTGAACCACCTACACTTTGGATTGTTATTACCATGGATTTTTCTGCAATATCTTCTTGCTCTTTGATTCATTTTCCGTGAACACAGAGCCAAGAAGGATATGGATTTGGGGCCACCTTGTGACGGCTTTGGAAAAGTCCTGGAGCCTGAATCCTGAGCTTAGAATTTAGGTTTCCTTTCCTTAATTGTTACTGTTCAACAAATACCTTTTGCAAAAGGGTATCATATAGCAATGACTGAGTTTTACCGATGAAAAGATGGTTACCAGTATCTCAGTAGAGTCAGTTACACATATTGACTGCCACCTCCATAAACCATCTAGACACATTATATCATTTAACACTCACAATGATCCTATGAAGTAAGTGCCATCATATCTCTATTTTATAGATGAAGCCACTGAGGTTTAGAGAGAATAAATAACTCATGCAGAGAGCAAGTGAGGTGTTAGGAAGCCTCAAAATATTCTGGTTGAAAACGTGAAAAAAAAGTTGTTCTACACGAAAGTACAAAATTACATGAAAATATTGAGACGTAAATCAACATACCATTTGTAACATTTTAAACCTTCAAATTGCATCTTAATAGCATATTTTGTTTTAGAGACTCTGTTTTCATAAAAGCACAAAATAACAGAAAAGTACAAAAAACCTGGAAGAAAACCATAAGAACTGATAATATTATGAATAAACTCAAAAGTGTAGAAATTAAGAGGCATAAAAATATTCCATTTCCCATACTTGTCCCCTATGATCTTATTCTTGACCTTTCACTGATGTCATGTTAAAAGAGGATTTGTGTTTGCATGTGTGAAAACAAAGAAAATATTCTCTAGCTAAAATTAATACTAAATATCGCTGTATTCCATTTTCAGTGTACCGGAATTATCACTGAATCAGAAGTCCTATATTATTCCTTCAGGGATCTCAGACAACATCTTCAAAAGCAGAGTTGTTACTTTTCCCCTATTTTGTCGTCTATATTTCGTATCTCTAGTGATGGCTGTAGGCATGCAGTTCTGCTTGCCAGGTCCTCCTTCAAGGAGGAACTTGCTCTCCCAGCTGCAGAGAGCTGCCTCCACCAACATCACGCACTTCCTGGTGCAGCCTGCATCCAGTGACTCAGTGAGAGTATAAAGGGGGGTCATTTCAGCTCCAGGTGGGACAACAATTTTTGCTCTGGGACTTGCCATGCTGGGTTGTCTATGTAGGGCTTGAGTAGCAGTTTGACTGTTCTCTGCCCAATCCTGCTTCTTCCTCCTTTTTTCATAGGTTTTGATCCTTAATAAACGTCTTGAACTCTAAAATCATCTCAGAGTCTGCTTTCTATTATTTTATTGTGATAAAAAACACAAGACAAAAAACGGACCACCTTAACTTTGTTTAAGTGTACAGTACAGTAGTGTTAACTATATGCACATTGTGGTACAACAGATCTCGAGAACTTTTTCAGCAGAATCTGCTTCTTGAGAAGCCAACCTGTGACAACAATTTCTTTTGGGATCTAAACTCTTTCAGATGTTTTGAAGTGCTGCTCCCCTTTCTCAGTAATGCCTTAACCAGGCTTGCAATATAAAATTGTGATGAGAAAAGATGACAGACAACACATAAGGTAGAGTATTTGCAATGATCACACCCCTTTTTCATGGGATCTGTGAATATTTTCCATGCAACTTAAAGAGTTAGGTTTTTCTTTTTTCTAGCCCTCATGAGAAGCAGCTAGGAATAGGAAGTCTCTCTCTTGAGAAATTTTAAGCAAACAGCTAGAGGTATTTTTTATTAGAGAGATGCCAAAAGCAATGTGGCAGGTATCTAATAAAGTTGTTGACTTAAAGCTTTCCTGAAGTCCTGGACACTGTATTTGGAGTTTTAGAGTTAATTGCATTTACTCAAAATTGGCGTCACATCGAAACTCCAAGCTTTGGTATGTCTATCTATAAAATAGGGAGATTAAGCTATGACAGTGGCTTTCAATCCAATTGTAATAATTTAAAGATGGCTGAGAATTTTTTGCTATTTCTTCCATTGAGAGGTGGAATCTAATTCCCCTCCTCTTGAATCTGAGTTGCTATTTGTGACTTGGTTAACAAATGGGACATGACATGAGTGATGTGACGTGACTTTCCAGCTAGAACAGATGAAGTCTTGCAGCTTCACCTTGGTCTCTAGGACCATTGTCCCTGAGAGCCTCTGAGCAGACAAGTGTTTTCCTAGGAACCTGAGGGGTGAGGTTGGAGGAAGGGATTACAAGGGACAGGAGGGAAATTTTGAGGTTGAAAGATATATTCATTTTCTTGACTCTGGTGATGGTTTCATAGACGTATACGTATATCAAAGCTCATAAAACTGTACATTTTAAATATGTGCAGTTGTTGTAGGAAAATGACACCTCAATAAAACTACAAAAAAAGAGAGGGAGAGAGAGAGACATTGGTTAGCTCAGAGAACTTCCCCAAGGGCCAGAAAGCCAGACCCAGAGGATCCATAGCTGAAAAAATAGTCATCTGAATTTCATAGTAGCATGAGGCTGACAAAGACAACACATCTGTCCTTCACTGGACAGGGACACCACACACTGCATCATGGATCCTTGGACTCCGGGCAAGTGATTGCTCTCAGGAGAGTGATCGCTTCTGGAGCTGCCTCTGAAAAGGGAAGCCTCTTCTGTCTCTGCCTCCACCCATTGCCGGAGTTAATCTAGCTCTTCCAGGTGACTTTTACCTTAGACCATCTTCTTTTTAGGTGCTGAATCATATTGGGACTTCTCAGGTAAGTCCAGAAGCATCTATTTAAATTCATGGAAATTTCATTGAGCAAGCAAAACTGGTTTTCTCCTTGTCTTCAATAGCTTTTGGTATCTGGTATTATCCTCTCAGAATCTCACTATGAAACCCTGGCTTCATAGCAAGCTGAACGGTTCATGACAGAGCATGGCAACTAAACATTTGTCAGCCTCAGTTGACCAATAGAAGTATGGAAACCTACAGTCAGCCACATTTTTCCCAGGATTCTTTTGCCCTATGACAATTTGAAATGCATTATGATAATAAGATTCCATAATAATTGTATTTTCCAACCGTTTTTTAATAGATATTCTTAGACCACTGGTCTCTAACAAAACAATTCTCCAAGGTTAATAGCCTTGAATTACTCGATGTTATGGTTTCTTGCTTCCCTTTTACATATCAAGTATCCTTTCCATCTAGAGACTATGCTTTAGCCCTAACAGAAAGCATCCCCTCTAATTTGTCCTTCTATTTAACTATTTATTTGTTCATTAATTTGATAAATAATTATGGAGCATTGACTATATTATGTACTGGGCACTAGGTGGTTCTCTCAGGACTTGAGGTGATAGAAAAGTCAGATATTTGATGTAAAATGACTTTACAACTACATTTATCTTTAATCCATGATCTAATATGGTAGAACATGACCTTCTTCCTAACCTGTCTTCTACATGTCAAAGAGTAAATTCAAGTAGACTTTTTTAAATTTAGTGAGCCTTGGAGGGCTTGCTAAAATACGGGTTGTTTGATCCTAGCCTCAGAGATTATGATTCAGTAGGTCTGGGTAGGGCCTTAAATTTGCATTTCTAACAAGCTCCCAGGTGATCCTGATATTGCTGATGCACTGACCACACTGAGTAGCATTGAACTAGAGAAACTCTCTTAGTCTAGTGTGTCATTGTGAAGTGCTTAGGTTCTTCACCATTTAGAACTCTATGGCCTTGTCTTGACTGGCACTGATTAATAGTTTTCTTTGTATCATAAGTGGTTTCTATGGTAGCCATGAAACTTGGCTTGTGGTGATAGCAATTGATATATTTATCATTGGGCTATTGGTCTTTGCATTAGTTGGGAGTAAGGATGGCTCAACTCATAGGAAGGAACCTGGCTATCCACAGTCCCCAGAGGCTTTAACTAGGTAGATATGACCTCAACCTGCTCTCCACGGCCATTTCAGTGCTTCCCGCCAAAGCCTGAGCCAGGACTTCAGTAATAACTTCCTAGTCTTGTTTCATTGGTTTGTTTAATATGCCTCTACTACTGCACCTTTCTCTTTCTTCTCCCAAATTTATACTGTTAATACAAACACTGGGTGTGAGGTGGTCACTCACTGTTCTCAGTCCAATTAAGTTTCTACAAAACATTTAACTGGAGCTTGAATCTTTTCCCACTTACTTTGACCAAATTTTCCTTTTTTTCTCTCTTTACTGCCTGCAACAAAACTTTTTCATCATCAACAAATAGAGTTATGTCTTTTGTTATTTGACAGACTTCACCATTAACATAAATATGTCTGTGATCTTCTCCATATTTCCAAAGATCTTTCAATTGGCCTTTAAAGGAAAACACCTAGTCATAGAGGCATTGAGAACTTCCAGCATTGGACTCTGCTTAAAGATTTTTCATAAATAATCTTCTCCTTTCAGCTTAGTAACTGTCAAATACTATTATATTTATGTGGGATGATTTAGTTATATTTCAAAATTCTCTTTCCTGGTTTTTGGAAAAACATCATAGTTTTGGGGACCTCAAAACTTCCATCATAGACATTATCAAACTCTTAATTGCAAGTTCTAGCTTCTAGTTTCAGAATAATACAATCTTTTAAAAAGTATTTTGAAAGTAGGCATTCACAGGTGCTGATTTATAGATTAGTTCCCAATGATCCTCCTTCTTACTACTTTGGACAGTTCCCATAAAACCCAGTAGACCTCACTCTCTATCAAATATATCCTGTGCGTATACCCAGATGCTCTGTTCCAGGTAGAAAGTAATTTAGAAAGCTGCTTCATCACGTCCAAAGCGGTTATACAAATTTACATTCCCCTTTGGGCAATGTATGAGTTCCCATTACCCTTAGAATAATGCTCAGTGTTATCTGATGTATTAATTCTTAGTACTTCATCATAGTTTACTATGCATTCCTCTGATGGCCAATGAGCATTAGCATCTCCTTATACGTAGATTGGCTTACATTAAGTTTCCCTTCCATGTGAATTTCCTATATTTGTTCTCCCACATTTTGTAATAAATTGTTTGTCTTTTTCTTATTGCTTTGTTATAAGCGATTAATTGAGTATGCTGAAAACTGTGGAAAAGTGAAATTTTCATCATGTTTAAAATTAATCTGTTGGAGACACATTTTAGATATATCCAAATTATCCTTGACTTTACTAAGTCTTAATAGGAATACTTCTCAATTTGCTTTACCTTTATTCAGAGCATCCAGTCTTTATTCTATTATACCAAAGTACTTTTATCAACTCTAATACATCTTGATCTATGTATATGTAGTTCTATGTATCTGTGTATCTATAGATATATAGGATTAGCCAAGTAATCACAAGCATATCACTTAACTTCTCTGTGCCTCAGTTTCATTATATGTTAAATTTAGAAATGATACTATCAACTTGGAGTTGTTGTGAGGATTACACGTATGCAGACAAGAAACAGAACACTGACAATTAGACAAAGGTATATAACACATAAAGAGAATTCCAACTCTACTCATTCCTTGGCTTAAATTTTCTTCTTGTTTTTAACAGTTTATTGATGGATTTAAAAATATTTTAAAATATTTAATATATTTTTGAAAGTTATTTTCAGAAGTCAATCTAGCCATCTGTTTCATTTGATGGAAACATAAGTTTGAAGATTTATGTTTCAAACCCATAATTGTGTGCCACATTTCCTTATAGTATGACTATATCCCTTCTTATAGTCCTCAAAAAAATTCATTTATTTTTAGAACATGAAAAACATTTATGAAGGAAACTATTATTTTAGTTATTGAAAATCGTTACTAATATAGATATTCCTCCTATTCTCTACCACTCAACTCACTTCTTAGGCCAGTATCTTATCTGGGAGAAAGTGGATGATAATCAGACCCTCTCCTGAAGCTAATAATCTGCTCCAAATAGACAGCATGGTTGGCTTTGGATAAAGTGAGAATCAAAATGAAGAGGAATCGGATCTAAGGAAGAAGTTAATTGTTTGAAGCCCAATTGTCAGTAGAAGTAACCATATGGTAATATTTTTAAATCTCAGTTAACTGCAGATGTAATCTCATGAAGCTGTCTTGAAATAAACAGCAGCAGGAAGCAACAAAGGGAAAAACAAATTCTTCAAGTTCTACAGAATCAAGATCATCAGGACTTCTAATGCAATCAATATCCTGGCTAGTCCAAACCTAATAATGTCTACATTATATCTTATAATCTGTACAGCATAATTTGGTCCAGGTATCCTAAAAGAAGGGTGAAAACAGTATGGTAGCTGGAACTAAACATCCTGACTGGGTTCAATCAGATTATCTTTTATTTGAGCACCTGCATGGTTTTACTACCCTGTTACTATTCAGATAAACTTTAGCAAGTTATTAAACTTCTTTTATCCTCAATTTCCTCAGTGATAAAATGGGAATGCCATCTACTTCATATGACATAATTAGATACATAAGAAAAGCTGGTAATTTCATGCTAAGGATCATATAGTCAGAAGATTTTCTTTGTTTCATATATGTAAATTTCATTTCCTTATCTGGCTGATAAGCTCATCATCAATTATATTTCCTCCTCCCTTTCGCTGAGAGCCGTGGAAGGCTAGCTGGCCTTACTGAGCACAGCTATTGATTGATGGATAGTCTGAAGTCAGCCTTGGGGACAAATACCTAAACTATGAAGTACTTTTCCTAATGCCTCATGATGGGGACTTGAGAAAAATTCCCAAACTAAGAGACTCAAATATATAAATCCTCTCTGGAATTAGTTCTGTATTTTGAAAATAAAAGTATAACAGTTTCCATAGAAGATTTTAAATTTTCTAAGTCGAAATATGATTGATTTTTTTAAAAAAAGCTTTCCAGAAAAGTTTACATTTGTAAGGAAAGAAGATAGGAAAGAAGAAAAGAAAGAAGAAAGGAGAGAGGAAGAAAGGGAAAAAGGGAGAAAAAGAAGGAAAAAGGGAAAGAGGAAGAAAGGAGGGCAATAAGAAAGGAGAGATAATGGAACAAACATGTATGTTTCCGAACTATCAAAATGGTAGAAGAAAAAAAATTTGGTTTTGGGAGCTATGAATAAGTCTCTTTTAAAAATTTGAATAAATAAAACGATGTGGACAAAACACTTATTTAAATAAAATAATGACAACTTATGGTACATAATAAATAATTTTGACCAACAAACAATGACACCGAACACATTGTCAAGTGAATCCTTGCTATTTTGTTTTTCAAATATAATGAAACTACTACAGGGGTGCTGCTCTTGCCCAAGAGTCTCACTGTTCAAGGTATAACCGAGTAAAAATGAAGGCAGGATAAGAGAGTACCAGCTGAGAAGAGATGAAAACAGTAGCATCAAAAGTTCTCTGATATAACATCATTAAGAGTCTAAAATAAACATAAATGTTCTACCAGGCCATTATATTATCCTCTTAATATTTTTTCTCTATAATTTACTTATATTAACATTTGGTCAATCTATCTATATATGCTTGTATATACACACATATGTATTACATAATATTTGAACTAAATTATATGTGAAAATACTATTTAACGTGACTATTTAAAAACTTAAAGCATTTTACATGTCTTCACAATTTTCCTAGGTAATATGAAGTGGTATATTTTTACCCCACTTTAGAAATTCGGGAGAAACTAAACATAATGTTGGTTTCTAGACCCACAGAGGACCCCAAGCTATTGTCTCAGTTCATTTCTCCCTAAAAGTGGTCACTCAGCTAGGGATTCAAGTGTAAGTAGTTTACTTACACTTACACTGGAAGTGATCGCAGCAAACATGAGGTGGAGAGGGGGATGTTGGTGAAAGAAAGAGAAGGCAATCAATAAAGTGTTGGTTCTCGAGCAAGTTATTGGTATGGGTTAAACGGAACTTCACTGGAAACGACGGAAATAAAACATGTGCTTCAGCGTGATCTCACCTGAGGGCCAGGGAGCTGGGATGTTTATGCACTGCCCCAGTGAATCGTTAGTTAAAAGATGCTTCCAAGGGGGTTAATTTCCCAGTATTTCCAGCCAGTGGCTCTGCTGGTGTCGTGGACTCCGGTGGCCTGGAAGACTAAATACAGTGAGCGCGGAAGAAGTGAAGATAGAGCGATACGTGTGGGGATCCAACAGCATTGCCTAGAGCTCCCATTTTATTTCCTTAAAGTATCGTTAGCACATTCACTGAGAAATTTTTGGAAATTATGAAAGAATTATCCTTTAATTTTTTTACCATTTATTTTCCTCCTCCCGAAAAGCAATTAAAAACAATGCATTAAGAAAGCGTAAAGGAACTTTTATTGCTGTGCTTTTTTTTTTGAGAAATTAATACTCTTTTAGGTTTATTGTTTTGCTCTACATTTTGAGCTGTTAAAAAAGCAAAATTGCTATTGCTGCTATTTTTTCCTATCATTGAAGAAGAAATGCGTGAAAGAAACCTTTTAAGTAGCAGCAAAAAAAAAAGAAAAGGGAGTGCGATTCCATCATGTAACTGAGCTGACTTTTCTGAACCTTCCTTATTAGTTCCACGAAAAATAAGAATTCTAATTGAGAACAATCAACTTACCTCCTCAAAACTATCTGTACAAGCTTCTGCACCCACTTTTGCTGCAGGTCCAAGCAAAGAGAGGTCTCTTCATGAATGAGCTTCACACTAAAAAAACAGAGATTTTTGAGATGAATTATTTATCTGGTTTGAGATATTCCTTGCCATTAAAATCATGGTCCTTTGGGTTCGGTGGTGAACTGATATGATCCCAACAGGATTTCTTCACAATTTTCTGGAACCCACGGGTACTTCGTGTATGCTGCCAAAGGCCTTTGGACCCAGTCGTGGCAGTAAAAGGAACTCCCTGGTTACCTGGTGTCAGATTGCTAGGGTTAGTCAACAGGCACCTGGAGTTCTCCAATTGCCCTAATTCCCAATCCAAACTTAATTGTTACTTCAGAAATTTTCTCCTGCTTCTCTAATTACTTTAGCTCTGCAGAATGGAGGTTAGCCACCTCCCCAGACTGTGTTTTAGAATTTGCTTATATCAAATAAATAAAACCATTGCTCTGGAAAGATTTAACTTCAGAAGTAAGGGGACATGGTAGCTAAAACTAAACAGACATCTGTACCATGTTAAGTTTCATAAAGACAGAGATTTTTCTTGCTGCTTTTTCACCACTGAAGACCCAGCACCTAGACATTCTATATTTGCAGAAGCAAAGTAACTAAGCACTTTTGACAGCATTTACATGATTTCTCAGTTTTTACAGTGTGATCTATTCTGAATCATTCTTAACTCTTTGATAAATTTGGGATGGAAAGGAATGGAATGCGTCCTCATGCCCCGGCATTGAAGGGCTGCACTAATGCTTGGCACAATGGGAGCTATGAAAACGCTAGGGGACTAGGGACTGATTTCATGCAAGGGCACCGCTCTGCTAGGTACTCTTGAAACTCTGATGTGATGATTTTGAAGACCATGGAAAATGTCTTAATTTTAAGAAACAAGTTGCTGCAAATAAAAGATCTAATTTTTTGGCTAACCCTTGACATTAATTTCCTTTCTTTTAAAATGATTCACACTACTATTTTGAATAGCTTTCTATATAAAGACTAATATTTGGAGTTTTTAAAATTAATATTGAACCTCCATATGGCACTTTTTCTTCTATTTGATTTTGCAGAATCTTCTGTGACACCATAATGCTATTTATAGGAGGTAAGCTATGATCTTATCAACAAAGAACTCACCTTCAGAAAGAATTAATAGCAACATATGACTATTTCACAGAGATGTCTTATATTTAAAAAAATTTTAATACTAAGAAAAGAAAAGAGCAAGTATGGAAACCACATGATAAAAACACAATATTATTTGTTATAGAACAAGATCTTAGGAGGGTCTAGGATCCACCATGGGGTCTTCAAAACAGACAGGTAATGATAGCTGTCTAAGCCTTCGTCAACAGAATGCTGAGTAAAAATACATGGATTACCTGGTTCAATGTTAATAGACGATATTTAAAATCAACTGTGACTCCCAATGGAATATAATATAAATTATAAATGGATATAGGTATATATTGTGATCCATAGGTCTATAAAATTCAATTAATATTCAGATATATAAATATATGTGTTATAGAACAAGATCTGATTTTTAGCACTGCAATGCCTACGTCAATTCAAATATTACACTTATCTTAGAGGTATGAAGATGGCCCCTAAGTAATTCAAAATCTAATTCAAATCTTATGAATTAAGCATAGTAGACACAATGCCTAGGGCCCATGATAACTTTAAGGGGCCGCGAAAATGTTTCAATTTCTTTTAAAATTAAAATATAAAAACGAAGCTTTAGAGTCAAAGAGAGTATTATTTTTTATCACAACAGAAAAAGATAAAATTTGGGGGGCCCACAAAAATCTGATAAATGTTGCCTAAAACAGAAAGAAAAGTTTGAAGTATTTAAAGTTACATCAACAATAATTTTTAGTATGGATGGGAGAGCCCCCAGAAGGTAGACGTGTCTAGGGTCTATGAAAGTCATTTGCAGCCCTGTCATATTAAATGAATGCAAACAGAGTTTTTGCTGGAATAAAAATAATGTTCTCAAAGCATTTTGGAGAGCCTTGATTTCTGAGGATCACAATTAGAAGAAAGAAAACTCTACTGATCAGAAAGATGTGCCTACCTTTACACGGTGTTACAGAAAGCATGAAACTGCCAAGAGAGCAATAGAGAAATGATCAGCTTGGAAGTTATGTTTACACTGGATCCTTGCTTTCCAGGCTCCTACAGCCCCTAGACACTGGTGTGCTTAGCTGTCTCTGAGGACTTGTGTTCACTGGAGTGCTCCTGGGGCCTTTTATATTATTTGCAACACTAAATGTGTGGGCCTTCATCCTTGCACTTAACGTTACTGGAAATTACACAAAGTCTGATATGTCCCCCTGTACTTTGAAACTAACTCTGAGAGAAACAAACACTCCTAGGTCTTCTAACACATTTTCAGCATGCTTAGCTTTTAACCTGACTTAGTTTAATAACTACTTTGTTTAAGGTACATGTCTTATTCTGTTTGGGCTACTATAACAAAAACACCGTTGACTGGGGGGCTTAAACAACAAACATTTATTTCTCAGAGTTCTGGAGGCTGGGAAATCCAAGACCAAGGCACCAGCAGACTTGGTATCTGATCAGGACCCACTTCCTGGTTATAGATGGCCTTCTTGTTGTGTCTTCACATGGCAGAGGAAATTAGAGACCTCTCTGGGGTCTCTTTTATAAGGGCACTAATCTCATTCATGAGAGCTCCACCATCATGACCTTCAGATGGATAGTTGGATAGATAGATGGATAGATGGATGGATGGATGGATGCATGGATGCATGGATGCATGGATGCATGGAGAAAAAGAGAGAAAAGTATTTCAGGATCCAAATCTAGGATCGTGTGTTGTATTTAGTTGTCATATATTTTTAGTCTCCTTTATTCTGGGACAGAATTTCCTCAGTTTGGATTTGTCTGATGTTTCTTCGTGATTACATTCGTTTTGGGCAGCAATATCTGAGGGTGCTTCATATAAGGATATATTCCTATTTCCATATGCACAAATAATAGTTAAAAGGATTTTGCACCCCAGAAGATAGGACATTAAAGTATCAATTTATGTCCTAGAAAAAATGACTTGCTAAATGAAACTCTCTTGCTCTGTTCCCTCTGCTCTTCATCTTATTTTGAAGAATAGTTTCAGTTTCTGGTATAATGAACACCGCCCAAGAGACTTTATAGTAGTCACAATTGTAAAGACTTTATTCCCATCTAGCACATTTCCTCTTTTCTGGAGCTCAATGCCACAGTGAGCAGCTGCTCACAGAAGGCAGGGTGTGGAGGAGGGAGGGGTGAAATCTGTAATAAAGGGCTCACTAGCAAAGCAAGGCAAATGTTCTAAGTATTTGCTTCTTCACGTTTTTAACTTCTATGTTTTTTCTGAACTTGATCATTTGTTCAATAATTTAATAATGTCATTTAATAAAATCAGTTATTAACTATTTAGTAAATATATTTTCAGCATGTTATATGCCAGACATTTTGATAGGTGCTGTGAATACAACAGTGAATAAGAGACCATTTCTTCTTTTATAGACCTTGAAATCTAGTGAGAGTATGGACAGGCAAGTAAAATGCAATGGGTGAAGTGTTACAATACAAATAGGTGCAGAGGCCACGGGAGCACATGAACAGGACCTTTCAACCATCTGGGGGAGTTGATTTATGAACTGAGCTCTAGGTCTGAGCTTGAAGTTCTTAAGGCAAGGGTGGCATGGAGAGGAGAAAAGATGTTGCTCAAGAGGAAAGCGCACTCACACCCCCAAGTGCTCTCCTCCAGAAACGCTGGGCCTGCTCATAGAGCTAGCTCTGATAGGAGAAGGTACTGAGTGGAATTTCAGGCCACTTACTGACTCTTCTTGGCAAAAAATGACCCTCAAATTTGAACCTTTGAACACTCAGTGAAGCTGTTGATATTACTCCTAGGTGCTTTGGCAAATATATGGTATTGCCTATTTTTTAACATCAGTGTAACTATTATTATTAATATAATTTTGAGTATTATGGTTCATTTTCCAAGGGTTCAGAAAAGAATAAGCAGCTGTGAAGGCAGTTAATGACTGGGTATTTTACTACAATTTCCTGTTCCAGCACATTCGAATTCTCAACACATACAAGCAACCAGGGCATCGAATGCTATGAGTCAGGGGAGCAGAGCCTAGGGCTGGACGGGAACTGGGCAGACCTGGGGTAGCCATTCATGGGTCTGACTTCAGTAGGGCAACATCTATCCAAGAAATCAGACTCAGAGACTTCTGCTTTCCTGTGTACACGTTCCCCTTGTAGTCAGCTCAGCAGTCAGAGCTAAACCAACGGAGAGAAAGGAGAACGCAACTTAATTTCTCTCCTACCTCGGTTCCTATCTCGTGTTTACACCCCTCACTTACTATATATCCAACCTGGGTGCCATAGCCTATAATGCTTGCTTTGTAGAAACTTCTAGAACAGGTTAAGTTAGAGAGGCTTCTGTAGGAATCATAACTCTGTTTCTTTTTATGGAATCATTCTTAGTTCTCATACACCAGAGTATATCTCCTTAACAGCTTTGAAATCTGTCTCCACTCTTCCTTCCATCCTTGTTTTCTGAACATTTGTCATAGTTCTGCATTACTAATATGATTCATTTTGAGTATAGAAAAATATAAAAAAGAAAATAAAAACTATCTGTCATCTCACTATCCAGGGATTATGGCTGTTAACGTTTTGATATATTCCATTTCAATCTTGTGTGTTATGTGTGTACTATAATTTTATCTCCTGGTTGTTTCACCTCCTATTGTGTTGTCAGCATTTCTTAACATCAGTCAGCACTTGTGTGTCATGATTGCCCTGTCAGCATTTCTACTTCTACTTCCACTTGTATCTATGAAGTATTCCAACATGTAACTTTATCTAGCCTTTTTTTAAAAAAATTCTTAGTGAATTTCTTCTCCCTTTCTAGCCCCACTGCATTGGACTAAGTCCTCCTTTCTCTGACCCAGATTACCACAGAAACCTCTAAGTGGTCGAACCTGAAGCTTTCCCCCTCCATGATTCACTCACTTCTCCCAAGTGAACTTTTTAAAACATGAATCTGATCATGTCTTTTCCCAGCTTTAATATTCAATGTCTACCCCCTTGCCGTGGTCTTCAGGATACATTTTACATTCTCTCCCTGATAAAAGTTTTTCTCTGCTTGGCCGCTTCTGGCTTCTCCAGATCTGTCTCTGCTCCTGCCCTCAGCTTTCATCTTTCAAATTCTAGTGCCTCTGAGTCCTTGCTCATACTATTCCCTCTGTCTGGAATACCCTTGCTCTTTCTTTGCATGGCAAAACCTATTCATCCTTTAAAATTCACCCCAAGTAGCAGCACTGCTTGGACACTTCCTGGAAGTTTGTTCCTTCAACCTCCACCTCACTATATGAGCTAAGTTCTCAAGGTCTGTCTTCCCTGGCTGTGAACCTTTCTATTGCCCACTACACACTTTTCTAAGTGACTTCTTGGTTTTTTCCCCTTAACAACAGGAGCTGAATTTGAGCTCCAATCACATCATACAGCATGAACACTCCAGAAAAATCTACTGAAAAGAGGAAATCTTTTGTAGTAATTCTGGCCCAGCAGCCAAGAGTTGCTGGGTCCGTGGCCAGCTTCCTTCTGTTGACTCCATTCGAATGTCGGCATGCCTCACTCATGACTCACGACTCGCTGATTTCTGGACAATGTCCTTTGTCGACATGGCTATGAAACCTTGTCTACTTGTGGAATTTCCCAAAGATTTTAGAATCTCCCTTCAAAATCCCTTTCCCTAAACATTTCTATCACTGATGCCTCCAGAGGAAAAGAGTAATAGGGTATCGTTACCCTGAGGATAAGTCAGCTATTGAAAAAAATCTCCAACATTAACTTTGCTTTTAGGAGCTACAAAAGAGGAAGCCAAATGAGAGTTAGTTTACAAATTTGATAAATTAAAATTTAGCCTGCAAATTTTAGTATAGCTGATGAGAGTGTAGTTTGGGTGGAGATCGAGAAAAACAGAAAAAAATCTATATGACTAATTCAAAATACCACTTCAGTGCCAAAGAAAGAAAAATCTCTTTGAGCCTAACCTAATGGAAGCTTTACATAAGATCACTCCAGTGATCTAGGTAGGATTTACCATTTTGACCATACAACAGAATCTTCTTATATTTGTCACTGTTACCAGTTACTAGGGTCACAGGTACTAACCTGAACATAAGGATGAATATATTTACATGCTTTAAACAATGATGCCACTCAGGTAGATAAGAACTTCACCTTAGCCACAGGTGGATCTATTGTGAAGCTAATTAACTTAAGCTCCAGGACCCCTCACTAATTCAGCCTTTTCTCAAGGATTGGGAGGGGCCCTAGCAAGGGTCATATATTTTTATAAAATTTGCTGAAGTCATATATTTTAACCAAATTGATTAGGACTGCTTGTTTTTCTCACTCCCACTTCCCTTCTTTGCAACTGTCCTTGTAGTGGGTGACGTTGATATAGCTGTGTTTTTGAGATCTGGCTAAGGGGAAGTTGAGTTGAGGATATCTAAATTCAATTTATATTTAGTGACATACATTTTACTGGTTCACAGTCATGTTATAACTGTTTTTACTAGCCATCCCCGTACGAGAATAGCCTCTAGGAATATTCCTCTGCTTACCATGCCTGATCACCCCGCCTCCTGATGCGGAGATCAGAATGGGGCTTCAAGTACACAACGCCACAATGAGGCAGATGTGGGAGAAACAAGGTTGAAATACACAGAGCCAGAAGCTAGTCCGGGGAAAATTCTCTCAATCATCAAAATGAAAATTTGCAAGCTGAGGATTCAGTTTACATCAACCCTAGACAAAACAAACCCTCTCATTCTGGGAATATACTCAATAATGCAGGCTGTACAATTATAAATGTTTCCTACAGTTTTTTTCCTATTTGACTCGAATCATGTTACATGAAATCTCTCCGAATTCCTGTGTTTGTAAAAGATGCAATTGTAGTAACATGACATATACTAAGTACTTCTGAGTATGAAATCACATGATTTACTCACCCAGGTATCTATACGAAAAACAAATTTTGATCAACCATACTAACAGAAAGAATAAACTACCGCTCTGTTCTTCGAATAGAAGATTATCTTAAAAATCATTGTTATACAGGGGCTGGCCGGGTGGTGCAGCAGTTAAGTGCACACGTTCTGCTTCTCAGGGGC